TCCCGACGGAAGTAACCACGAAATTGCCTCCAGTAGAAATTTATTTTATCCTATAAGCTCTCATTCCTAAGGGGAAACTTTAATGGAATAGGTTTTTCGTTCTTATCGTCTGGTATTTGTATCATATCAGAAGAAAAACTATATCTCAGATGTATTTATAACTTAACATTTCTTTTAAAGAAAACCTTAAAAGTAAAATTGACAAATTACAAACCTAACCAATGCTTAAAGCTTAGGTTATATCGCTAAAAAATCAAGTAATAAAAGCTTAAAATTTATTAAGAAGATATTTTTATTCCAATAAATTTAGTATGGTAGTATTCTGTACTTTAATTAAATCTCTGGCAGATATAACGTGTGTGTTCGCAAACCGGATACAGTTCCAAGCTAATAAGAGGCTAAACAACAAAGTACAGCGAAGCTTGCGAATCAAAAAGACCTCAAAGTGTGTCGAAATAAACCAACGCTTCCCAACTTTATTAGGTCAATAGTTAAAAGTATTAGACGTGGTTAAACATTGTAATTACTTTAAATATATCAAGTTTGGCAGTTGGAATTTTAGATGTATTTTTTGTTATTGATAATTATTTTCGTAATTTCATACCAATCAATTTAAATGGCTAGTTATAGCTATTTTATGGATAAATCTATGTAACAGAGTGTCTTAGCGATCACTTAATGATTGTGAGTAAGGTACTAACCGTTGGTTTCTGAGACCAAAACCTCTGTATAAAACATATCATCTTTGTCATTATCTTTGACAAAACAGAGATAAAAATATGTTTTAAACGGAGATTTCAGTCTCAGAAACCCTAGATAAGTCTCTCGCAGAAGATTATTTTATATGTTGTTTTATATACCATTTCCTCGTGTCGTCATACAGTTCACTGTCCCTTCTTGTGTCCTATCTTTTTCAACGGCTACCTTCGAATCCTATCTATTTTTATCATACCGCACATCCATCTCAACACACCGCGTACCCTTTTTTATCCGTCCCTTTGGATGACCAACATTCCGTTCCGTATAGGTCGAGAACTCGGCATGTCTTTCCAATAGTTTTTTTCCGAATTTGCGAGAAATTTATGGCATCCAGAGACATTGCGAATATCGTATTACCATTATTATTATAAGAATAATCCGAAACTAGTGGAACGAATCCCTTGATGTCAGCTCGTACGCCCTACGGATAAGCCTATGTTTAGGGTTGAGAAATAAATTAAAATAATTACGCAAACTTACGAAATCTAAGTTGAATCACAATTGTAACGTTGTTTTAATTCATGTCACGTATTTTTAAAATAATTCAATATACCATCAAATAATAGCAAATTATACATCTACAGAATACATGGCTACGGTAATTTCTATTCAAGAAGTAATTTTTTGTCAAACTAATATAAAACATGAAATTATTAAACAAATTTTTCCAAGTAACATTATTTTACTTTCTGCTTCATCACGTTTTTAAATATTATTGTTTACAAAGAGATATGACGGGGCAATTTTGGTTACAATTCATTTGTTTGTTTGTTAAAGAGAAACGCGTGCCAATTATTTCTTTTTGCGATTCCCGTGTGATTAATTTACTTGTATTATTGAAATATTGCCTGTCTACGCAGTACATCATTTGGTAAAAATAAAAATAACAAGTTTTTCCTTTGTGTGAACAATACAACAAAAAATATATTACATAAAAAAAAACAAAAATAATATAACCTATAAAGAAAATATGACATCTTTATTCAACAGATATAGGAGTGTTATCATTTGAAGTAATACATAAAAATAAGTATAGATTCTTTCAGAATACAGGAAAAGACTTTAGGACTTTAACGGACTTATGGCGATACCAAGATATATGCGTAGATGTAAGAATGTAGTAGAAGAAACGAGAGAAATGTATAAGGACCGCACCAAATAGAAGTCCGTGGACTCCTACCCCTCTAGTTTAACGTAATTATGTGGTTTTGTAAAATGTTTGATCACAATTTTTTAAAACAAGCTAACTTATTAGCATCTTAAGATGCTTACAAGATCTTAACTAACACTATTTTCCTAATTAACGAACATAATTATTAAGTTAATTAACGAAGACCTACTGAATGTTTGCAAACAATGATAAAACTTTGCCATTTAATACAAATAACTTTGAGGAAAATCTCATAACAAACGCTGCAAACTTCGAGTGGAGTAATGTGGAGGAATTTTGTTTGCTCGTCTTGTGGCGATATGTTATTTTAGTTATAGCATCAAGATATTAGATGAAAGACTGAGGATGCGGTAAAATATGCCAACTTTAACAATTCGTTATGCTTGTAGTTGAAGAAACATTTGGTTACGAACATCGTACTTTGGTTTCGTTTTTATATTACTTTTTATTTATGAATTTAATGTAATCTTATTAATATTAATTTAATTTCAATTTAGATGGATGGATGTTTGTTATCAGTTATCTCCGAAATGGCTAAACGGACCTTGATGAATTTGGCACAGGTATATAATATAGTCTGGAAGTTTTTTTTCCTATAAAGTACGGAACCCTAAAAATGGTTTCTTACACGGCTCACAAATGAATACATACGAATCGTATCAATGTATTGTTGTATTTGTATTGTAAATCTTCTTTCAATAAGTGTCTATAAAATGTGAAAATATGAGTGGGGGTACATTTAAAATACCAGCAGTGGATCGTTAAAGAACAAATTTATAGCGATGGAAAGATTGATCGCACAAGATGTCAGAGACATCTCAATATTATACGTTATATAAAGTTATAAGAAAGTTTTCGAATATCTTAACAATATTTATGTTATAATTCGTAACGTCGAGAATTACAATGGAGGATCTGAAAGTATAGAATAATCATTATAGTAAATTATTCTGAAGTGTAACTTATTAACTCTGATATTGACTTTAACATTTTCCAAGTAAATTATATTATTTTAATAAAATGTGACTTTAAGCTAACATTTACTTCAATAATGTGTATAAAATTTCCCTTTTAATTTAGAGAAATTTTAAGCTCTTCAAACATTTATTTGCAACTAACTAACTATCTATACAGGATATTACAATATTCCGAATATGAAACAAGACTTAGGTTTAATTACAAATAACAATGACACTTTTATTCCTTAACAAATTAAATGTAGTTTATAATAGAATATTTAATTTTTATTAATTTACATTTTTGAGTTGAAAGTTAAAGTTCCTACGAGTACAGTAAGTGACTTCGCTTAACTAGAAAGTGGCGGAAAATTAACGCTCGAGATTGCAAGCGCTGACGGCGCTTGTTAACCTTATAATAGGTGAAATACACTACGCTACATACTCTCCTAATGCCAGTTCTACCTTTTGAACATCCTATATTTCTGGAATATTATTAAATATCTTACTTATAAATACGAATATAAAATTTGACATATAGATGTAGAACATATGCAATTACTTAAGATTTTTCTAGTCTGTTTATACTAAGTTTTATCGATAAAACAAATACGAAACCACCCGTAAAAACAGACTAATGCCGCCGAATTGATTATTTACCGAAAACACTTTTTTCTCACTCTCATTTGCAAGTAATTAAATTTTTCAATATAGAAACTTCAATAACTGACCTTATAGGACTCGTGAGTGGTATTAATTAATCTGAATATGTTAAATGATTGGAAGTAGTTAGAACATTTAGGTCACGTCTCGCGGTGGTAGTCAAAGCTAAAGTTTAGAGACGCGTTAATCTACTAATGCGAGGATAACCAACTCATTCCAAAGTTTCTTAAGCCGAGATTGATTTGTTTGTTCTATTCATTACATGTACCACTGCCGATTTAATAAAATTGATTTAACTTTTAATGTTCATAACAAATCAGAAAAGTAAGACCCTACCACAACATACTAGGTAGAAAGATAGAGAAAACAATGAGCCTAAAAGAAACTTTAACTACATAATATAACAATATAGACGTCACAAACATATATTTATGCTTTCATCTGATGAAAGTCTTCTCTTCTCAGAAATATTGTCAGCACAAATCTTTTGGGAATACCGCAATTGGAGCAGACAAAACCAACTAACATCCCTCGCTGTCTGCAATATTGACTTTGTTTCCGATAGTAAGTTAGTGTTCATTTATTCGTTAGAGAGATTTTTTGCGACGCAAAGTTTCGAACAACAGCTAGTGTTAAATAAATTAACATACTTTTACTTCCACGTTAACTCAGTAAAAAGATTTTAGTGCGAAAGACGAGGTGTTTCGTTAAAAGTCGTCGGAAAATTTGAAGCGGCGCGTCGACTCGAGATAGGGGGTGCCTCATTGTCCATTAATTTCATAACAACCTAAATATGCTAAAGAGTGTACTTTGTTGAATTAAAGTTTGCAAGGAGGTCTTGGAAGGTAATATTTTAATATCAAAGTACGTATATCTATGACTAAAATTAAGAAAAAAAATCAAATTTACTAAATTAATTAAAAAATTAAAATATACAAAATTATTAATTTTACTAAGTCACTTTATATGAAGTCTGGATGTATTGTATTCATAATATTATTGAGAAGGTTAACTTTTTTTTTCACATTTATTTCTGTAGTAGAGTCCCACGTTTAGTTTATTAAAATGGTCAGATGGTTTCGTACTTATATTTATTCTGTCTACGAAAACATCAAATGAATTTAAATTTTATGAAAGGTGTCAAAAGAATTATTTATGTGGCAGTGCGCGTGTTACTTCCGTAAAGAGACTTTCAACAGTCATCATACTGAAGCTCAGCAGTTCTTGGCATATTAAATAATAAAACATGTTTAATTATTAACTTATTATGTAAATGGACATCAGCTTTAAGCAGTTTTTAATAACATACATAATAAAGGCATCACACCAGAAATCACGTAGGAAATAAGCAACATTAGTTTTGCCGGCGATTTTTAGGTTATGTAATTTTGTTTTTTTTGTTTCAGATAAAACCTAACCTGTGAATATAATATTTGAAACATATAAAACAGCTTAAATTCCTTACTCATAAGTAATTAAAATAATGTATAGTAATAAACTTCGATAGTTAAGTGACAGTGTTACGTGGGTGTGTGTATCTGTGAAATGCTTGTATAAATATTTTATAAAGAAATTTTTAAAAGTGAGCAAAATGTTGCCTGTACCACAAGACCGTATGTCAGGTCGCCGGAGCAGCTCCATAGTCAGTCGTACATTGTTGGGACGAAGAGCTTCAGTATACGTGACCGGCAATCATCAGGATCCAGCGAAGGTGAGTTTTTTTTACGACATTTTTTTTTAATTATTTATTTATATAAACAAGAAACATATACAAATTTACAATAAAAGTGTCTATAAACCCATTTTCCCAGACCCTTTCGTACTACGCTATGGAAAGAAACAGTAGGTAAGTTTATTTTTTTTTGTTCACAGCAAATTAAATCCTAATAATGTGAAAAAAGGTAGAGGTTAGGAAGGACTTGTGGCAGCTTTAGAGTATTTTACTGTTACTTACTTGTTGTTTACTTATGATTACTACGACCAGTATTTCCAGACTGGAATAGCAAAGTGGAAGTTATCCTATTGCTTTTGAGAATCTGCTAGTTTAGAGTTATTGACGGACTCGACAGCGAATTGTTTCGACGACCGCGCAGTGTCCCTTCGTTGTCCAAAGTGTCTACAAATTAGCTTTAGTCAGGTTACTTAGGTAATATTATATCGATTAAAAATTATTTCATTTATATAAGAAAATCGATCTTAACGACGCTTTTAACAATACGACGCTAATAAAATACGATGCCATGTTGACAATATTATTTACGCCCGTATATTTATATGTTCGACAAGATTAGAAATGTCCTTAGTATTTTACGTGATCATCAATATATAGCAAATACCAATACGTCATTTTTGCAGTTGCAAATTGTAACCATATTTCGATAAAATCCTAATGAACTTCTTGGTATGACCCAGATGTTTTTTGTGAATTACTCCATCTATTGGTGAATTAATATCTATACATATAAATAAAATTGTTGTGTCTGTTTGTAATATTGAAATAACATTTATTGGCAGGGAGCTGAGGTAATAAGGAGTGAGTTAGACTATATTTTTTTTAGAAAAATTCTTTTATTTTACAATAACAAACTAATGTTGCAATATCCAAGTACTGTCCAGTACCACGCGCAGTTTAAAGGCAGTATTTCACGCGGACGAAGTCGCGGGCACAGCTAGTCGACTATAAAAATATTTTTAACCATTGTGTTCATTTTGTATATACATACATACAACTTTATAAAAATATACGATCACTATAAAATAATTGTTAACTTAGTTTTTTGCTTTTCTTCGAAAAAGAAATCTTGCCACAATAAGGGTTTATAAAAAAAGTATATTACAATATTAAAATGAAGCTGTATTTTAGATAAATAAGTAGCTGTTTTCTTCTGAGTTGCTTAATGTGCATTTCTTTTCATACTACCCATTTCTTTGAATCTGTCATCAGATACCCTCATTTATGTGTAAACGTGTTACGACAGCTTGATAAATGTATTACTCTCCGCGACGGCTTCGAACAGATAGTCTGAGAATATATCAATTTTTTTTTTGTAAAAAGAATTGTTAATGTGGGGGGATTCCACTACCAACTTATACAAACAAAAATAACCTCCTTCTTTTTGAAGTTTTCAATGCCAAAACACTGACATAAAACAAACTGAAAGCTCTTGTTTCTTTAAAAAAAAACTCCTTATTAATCCTTGTATCAAATAAGTTACGCGCTTATTAAATCAACAGTTTAGTTTTAACAAAAATTAAAAACAGTATCCCTAATGAGCACAGGCTACATTGTATTTAGTTTTGTGGCTTTGCTGAGTTTGCGGTGTGTCATATTTTATTGTATACATTATTTCAGGTTGAAATAATTCAATGATCTGTTTATATCTTCTATGAAGATTTTGAAATTATGGTATTTTAATATTCGGACAACCTACAGGTAAATAATAAATAATGACGTTAGTAAATAAAAAGTTAATGCTAGTTGAAATTTGTTACATATAGAAACGCAGGTAATAACATTAATTTCATAATGTTACTATCTTACTTCTTATTAACATTATAAATGCGAATGTTTGGATCGATGGATTTATTGATGTTTGTTTGAAGGTATCTTCGTAACGGCTGAACGGATTTTGATGAAATTTGACACAGATGTAGAACATAGATGTAGAAAAAATAGGCTACTTTTTACATTTTTTTTTATTCCGCGCGGACGGAGTCGGGGTCCACAGCTAGTATTATTAATAAATGTAGCTGTTATGGTTATGTAAAGTTAAATAAAAAAACAAATCTTTTCGTAAATAATTCGATTTAATGATGTAAAATGTTTTCATTTGTTGAAATACGACAAGAAAGTAATAAATCCTTGTTCAATTTCAATATACTTACATCAAATCAGTATTACTGAAGAACCGCAGTAAAATCGTTCTAAAAGTAAATCTCAATGAAATAAAATTTTCTTTATTTACGATTTTTTCCGTCATCATTCGAAGTTTAGTATTTCTGTAGTAAAACACAATACCATTAACCATTACACAATACCGAACTAACCTATGACTTTTGGACGTTGCTATTAAAGTTTTAACTCTTTTGATCCGTGGTTAAAAAAGATTTAAGATTTCCCTGACCATTGTAAACGGTTTTGTACACGTTTTAAGTCTTGTTACTAGTAAACAATAACATAAGCTCTTTGATTTCTGGGATCTAAAAGATT